TGCTGCTGCTGTAACTGTTGCTGCTGCAGGTGCTGCTGCTGTAACTGTTCCGCCTTCTGCTGCTGCTGTAACTGTTGCTGCTGCAGGTGCTGCTGTTGTAACAGTTCCTGCTGTTGCTGCTGCTGCTGCTGCTGCTGCTGCTGCTGCTGTTGCTGGAATTGTTCCTCCTCCTGCTGCTGCCCTGACTGTCCCTGCTGCTGCTGCTCCTGCTGCCACGGTTCCTGCTGCCTTAACTGCTTCTGTGGCTGCTGCTTCTGTAACTGTTGGTGCTGTGGTAACGGTTTCTGCTGTGGCTGCAACAGGTGTTGCTCTGGCACTTGCTGCTCCTCTGATTGTTCCTGCGGCGGCATCGGCGGCAGCTGTGGTTTCAGCTGCTGAGGTGGCACAGGTGGGGGGTTTTCCTGCAGGTGCTTCTCTTGTCGAGGCAGCCATTCTCGGTCAGCTTGCCGCTGTTGCTGCGGTCCTGGGGATCGGCTTTGTGGTCGCCGCTCCTGCCGTGGCTGTTGTTGCAGCGCTGGTTGCTGTTGTGACTGTTGTGGTTGCAACTCCGGCTGCCCCTGCTGTGCTTCCTCAGCCATTTCACCGGCCCCCGTCGGGGCTGAGCTTGCTGGCCGCGGTGGGCTGCCGTTCTCCTGAGCCTCTTCTTCCTCCTGACTCTCACTCCCACCGCTGCCACCTGTAGTGGAAATGGCGGGAAGCCAGGAGAGAAAAATCTACGGGCAGCTCTCAGGTGCAGACCCCCTGGACCTCCCCGCTCACCCGGCCCCATGGACAGCCACGCTAGGACACACTGTGAGCTCCCATCAGGGACCCAAAAGCACCGGCTCGGTTGACAATGGCAGCGTGGCAGGAACTGAATTGCCCAGAGGTGTGGGGTTGGCTTAGAAATGCGCCCGCAGGACTGCTGGTCACATCACTCTGCACCCTGGCTGTTCCACCTCTCCCCCGCGCCTCCCTCCACACAGGCTCCACACTTAGATCTTGGCAGTGACAAGAGCCTGGGTGCCTGGGGCTCCCCAGCACCGTTCCCTGAGAAGTCTCTCGTGCTTCACCGCCATCCAGTGGGAATCCGCGTACAAGCCGTTCGGACAGCTAAGCCACAAGCCCGTGCTGAACTCTGACCTCAGTTAGGGTCACACCTCACAGAAGGAAAACTTGCCTTCTCCGTAAATAATAACGCCTGGACGTATCACCACTAGCGGTCCTAAAAGTCACCGAAGTGTCAGAGACAGCACAAAGTTTCCAGCGGGAAGTCCTCCGTTCAGGCCCTAACTCTATCGCTTAGTAGCCGTTGACCTCCTGCACCACGGAGCCCTCCTTTTCAGTGACAGCTTCGGGATACCCACACTTCCAGCTTCACGGGCAAAGCCGGAAGGGCCCCGCCACCGCCTCTAGAACCTGGTGGGTGCTTGGAAAATGCCTCTCCCTGTGAGTTAGAAAATGAGTTTGCAAACTAACAAACACTTTAGCAGTACCAAGGATGCAACTAGCTCCGTTTGAAACAGCCTGAAGACTGGAAGTGTCTGAGACTATTACTCAGGAATGGAAAGGACTAATTCCATAGCCCCAAGTCAACATGGTGACTGGCCAGTTACGTCACCTCTGGGAACCTGAATTTCCCTGTCTGGAAAAAGGAGATAAACCCTTCCCAGGGACATAGCGAGAATGCCAGGGGGGAAACGTCTGGCCCAGGGTTGTGCAGGTGTAGAGGAAGCCCCACTACGTAAGAGTCGCTCTACTGTCACATTTCACTTTCCTGCACAATATCCACGTGTCTGTCTCTCATTTTGAGCATTCAGGCTGTGTTCATGGAAAATCCGAAGAGGCTCTCTCCATTTCCGAGTCTGATTTCCACGTCTGTTCTTCCTACGGCTTCGTATTTTCAGTTTTGTAACAGAAAGCAGAGGTTGGATGTTTTAAAATTTTGCTTTCCGGCCACTTTGCCAGGATTGTATTGATTTCATAAAACCAAGGGATATCTATATGAAAATAACTTCCTTTCAGAAAACTAGTCCTAATAACCTTTGCTTAGGCTAATGGATAAGTGAATGCATTTCTCATAAACACACACCAGTCGGGAGTATGCGTGTGGTGAGCGAAGACAGCCATGAAAACCTGTTCCCCCAGCAATGTCAAGGTCTGATTCACTGCAGCCTCCTGCCACCCCTCGAGGCACCAAGGAGCACCGTGCTTCTGTGTGAGTCCTCACGTTTCTAGCACAGCACTTGGCTGTGTGGCCAGTCCTGGCTTCTTACAGCAACACCAGCATTTTAAACAACGATGTTTTTAGTAAACATATTATTAAGTGTCACCTGATGTGCGTGCCCTCGCAAGACTTTTTCCAGTTAAATATTTGAGCCAGGAGAGTCGTTTAGCCACACATCCCAACACAGCCCCTCTAATTGCCTTGGTCCTTTTCATGCTGTTCAACCCTGGCCCAGCCCTCAGTCAGTGCCCTCAAAGCACAGAGAAGGAAAGTGGCCCCCAGGAGCATGACCACCATACAAAGTTTCCCCAGACCGTGTCCCAGAGGGAGAAGGCATCTTGAAAGGTTCTGCAGGGCCATATTTGCCTCTGGGCAAAAGGGGAGGAAGATGGATTGAAGCAGAGGTCAGGAAAAGTGGACAAGGAGAGAGAAGGCTACCGAGAAAAGAGAAGCAAGGGGTCCAATGCCTCAGGTACAAGGGGCAGTGGGAGAGAGCCCCTGAATTCAATCTTGAGAACTTGAGTCTGGAGCCAGGGACAGGTTGGGGAACAGTGGAGGCCTCCTGACCACTGGGGAAATAGCAGCAGCTCCCAGCCAGCACATACCCAGGGTCCAGGCATGGTCTGAGAATATCTGCATCATCAGGGAGCCCGTCACAGGCACAACCACAGCCTGATACAGCCGCCTCGGAAAACCCTGAGGGGAACCTGCCAGTGTCGCTCCAGGCAGCTGAACTCGGCCGCTGTGAGCGGCTGCAGCCTGCCCCAGCCCCACACCCTGAAACCACAGGTGAGCGCCCTTGCAGACAGCAGGCTGCCCACCACCCTGCAGCCCCCTCTCGCCCACAGCAGGCTGGGCTCTGTCAGAACGTCCTCCACGGGGCCTGAGGACTGTCTCCTGCTCTAGGTCAGAGCCACCTCCCTCTAGTCCCTCACCTGAGAGGGTGCCAGGCCCAGGGCCCCCATCTTCAAGACACTGAAGCTCCAGCACGAAGGTCTCGGTCGCTGGCCCCAGCTCCATCCTAGCGCTCAGACCAAGACCCCGGGGAGCCAGCTGTGCTGAGAGGAAGGAAGGAAGCTGTTCAGGTGGGCAGGAGTGCTGTGAGCCCCCAGCCCCGTGGCACTGACTGCCACAGAGCCCTCCACCTCAGCCTCGGGCCTCCAGAGCCAGGGGCCCCACCCTGGCTGGAAAGGAGGACAGTTGGAGTCACAGCTGGGGAAGGGAGGCACAGGGCAGCCCGGAGCTCTGCTCCCAGGGCCCGTTCAGCCCCCCCCCCCCCCC